TTCTTTGGGATGGGAACAAATATAGACCTCTTCCAGTCAGTTTGCCAAGTGGTTATTCTCCAGATTTCTTGGCACAACGTGGTGAGCACATCCAGGGCAGCATCTGTTAGCTGAAATATGTCAATTGGTATACCATCTATTCCGGGGGCCTTATTATGACTCATAGAGACCCTATAAACAAAAGATCTGAACCCTGTTCTATCCTGTGCTATCCTCACACTCCCTGATAGACAAGAGCCCATTGCAGCAGTCACCGTGTCAACCCACAGTTGGTAATCCATAGTATGTTCAAGATCCTTCAACATCACCATAATTTAAAGACTTCTCTCCTTCACTTATTGCTCAACTTTAGCATGCATATGACTCAATTGAATGTTCCATAACTTGGATCAGGTGCAGCTTAGTGTTGAAAGTGACACTTTATAACTTTAAAGAAGTCTTTTGTAGCTGTTAGGCTATGGGCTTAAGAAAAATATCAGAGAATATGAAAGCAAGCTTGAAAGCAGTTTTATTAGGGGAGCTCCTGGTCAAGGTTCCTCCTTCTGAAGATGTAGAAGGAGGAAGACTCACTTTGAGCATATTGGGGAGGGTTTTTATAACAGAGTCTTTAGGAAGGGAAGGGAGGGACATTCCATTGTGATTTATAGTTCATCCTTTAGTTCAGCCAGGTGGGCAAGGCCATTCACTCTTCTTATCAACATGTGTATTCTTTGAATTCTTCGTTCTCCCCTTTGGCCCCCTGTCCAGACCTATCAGTAGTAGTTCTACCCAATATATAGTATGCCGCTTGATAGCCTTGTTGACTAATGGATAGAATAATAGGAAACTAACCTTCTATGTCTTTTGGTCAGAAGCTGTGTTCTAATCCCAAAGGCAAATAGTTCAAATCCACCAACTGATTTTGAGGAGAAGCATGGCCAATCTCCTCTTCTGTGATTTAACTGCCTCTGAAAACCTACTGAAGGGTCAGCTAAGAGTCTGTTCCAACTTAGTGGCACATGGTAACAACCACCACCAACTTATGTAGTATGCTTCCCTAATGTAAGACTAACATTTTATAACATCCTAAAGTGAAAAGAACTTTCTCTTAAGTTAGCAGTAGTGGTGTTGGTTTTCTTACTAAGGTAGAATTCTTATAAAATATATATTCTTGAAACTCTTCTGTTGCTCTTTCTTGTCTGACATATTGGTAGATCGGCGGTGGTAAGTTCATCCTTTAAACTTCAATTTATAACTCATAATTTTAAATTCACTGCTGCAATCCTTTAGTTGTGTGCCCTTTCTGTTCTGTTCCTAACATTTACAGCCAG